AGAACATACTTACACTTTACAATTCTTTCTATATTCAAGTGATCTTATAATGTCATTTATGAGTGTGCATGTAATTTTTCATGATTCTTCGTTTTGTGTGAAATATATGTTGTGAGTTTACATTGTGCTCTTTTTAAGAGTGTTTTTTTAATATATGAAAAGTCTTAAAATCAGAAAAGGTTAAGATTGTGAAACTAAAAATGATTTGTGTACTCTTAATAATAATGATTTGTTATAATCTGGAATAGTTTATGTTATAACCTTATCTGAATCTAAACAATTATTTGTCTATGTATTTAATGAAACTTGAAACAGGAATATACTAATAATATAATTTTGTTTAGAGATTTTTTATTATTTTATTTCAATTATGCACATAGAGTAAAATGTAAGAATTTGATATAATTGATGATGTCTATTATTGAATTTTTATTTCAAAAAAAGAAAGATTTTCGCTTAATCTCTATTCATTAAAAATATCATTTGTTCACAGTCACATGTTTTCATTTTTAAGAGATGATGCAGCTCCACTTAGTTCAGAATGGTGCAATCACGATAAAATATAAATTAATAAAAACAAAAATAAAAAAAAATCTAAATAAAACGACAATCTTCATTGACAAAAAACAATGAGATATATCTAATTTCTGGTAACAGTACGACTAGTTTACACGTGTTTAGGAATTTATGACAGTTGAACGGTGCTAGAAAGAAGATGGAGATTGCTTTCTTGTTCTTTATCTCTACCTCTTCTTTCTTTTCATATCCGTATTATTGTTTCCTACTTTGGGCAACTTTACTCTTTATCTTTATTTATCACATTTTTTAAGTTTTTCAGGGGGCTCTACACACAGAATAAATCTTCTAGATTAAAAATACATAAATTTATTCATTAAAAATTAAGAAAAAAAAATACATATATGGATAGAAAATATGATTGATGTCTTTCTTTCCTAAACCTATTTTGAGAGTTGTTCAAAAATTCATCTTTACAAAGAAAAACAATTCTCCAAAACTCTAAATGAGACAATTTTCACAAAATCCAACCAAAGGAGGATGAGTATCCTCTCACTATGTCTATCTGTACATGTGTGTTAGAGAGAGATTTTAGATTTGATTTTGAGGACAATAAATCCCGTACTTTTTACCATGATTGTTTTAAAAAAGAAAGATATCACAAACTAGACAAATATCAAAATTTATTAACTGCTAGGATGAAATCTAAAAGATTACGATGACAGTATCAGAAGCTAAATGCCAGAAAAAGAATGCATTGTAGGCAACACTTTGATTAATTAACTTTTAAGGAGTTTTTAATAGATTATTACAGTAAACATTGAGATATTTTACAAAGAAAAATTCAAAGTGTTAAGAATTGGGACTTTTACTGACAGAGCTCATGGTAAGTTCAGGAAGGAAATATGAAAACTCCTATCCATATTAACATGATAAGATCCAGCAGTCAATGGGAAAAGACATTAAGAAAATGATAAAGATATGTGGGTTAGCATTTATCAATAATTACAAAAGGAGGTGATGAAACAAAGCAAGTTAAGTAGAATTTATTACACCAGACATGGAAAGGGACTGGAGCTAAGTATGCAATGGAACAGTGCTATTAACATAGCTAAATCGACAAAGAAGAGATCCTAATAATGTTGTAACTTTCTCATTTTCTCAGTACCTTTATATTTTCCAAGACTTTTCCTTTATATATATATATATATATATATATATATTTATATATATATATATATATATATATATATATATATATATTTATTGTCGTTTACAATAATTTAGTCTCAAAAGCATTACTATTTTTATATAATTAATTACCTTAAAGCTATCACATTTTAAGTTCTAATAAGTTCAATATCATAGGCTCAGAAATATCCAAAACCATTTTATGCAATTTTATGTTACCGATACGAAGCATTCAACTGCAGAATGAGTATGGTTTTAGCTAGTCTAAGCACTATAGTGTAAATCACATGGTTCATATTTTTCAATGGAAAAAGATTAGAAAAAAAAAATAAAAACAAAAAAGCAATAAAAGCTAAAAGCATATGAGGGCAATTTTAGTGGTTCCTAGGGTTTCAACTGTCATATTTGATGTAACTGTTTTGAAGTTTTATGATTGATTTGTTTTGCCCTTGGAAACAAAAGCTGCAAGAAAAAGTCGTTTGGAGAAAATGAAAGACACCCCAGCTAACTTTTTACCACCCAAAATGACAGCAACATTTACTAGATATAGAACATTAAATATAGTCTGTTCTGAAAGAAATACCAGTGTGTGTGTGACTGCATGCTGGATAATCTAAACAGAATAAACACAGAGATGTGATTACTATCAGTATATTTTTCTTTGACCTAATCAATTTATAATTTTGTGTCATCAATCTAATCAAATATCAAGAATTAATGCACGTATGGACTACAATATTGGAACTTTTAAGTAATTCTTATATTATAAAATACACTAATTAATATTAATTGTCTGTGTTTTCTTTCAAACTAAGCTACCTATTCATTCAAAATTCAGCAGCGTTATTTTATATATTCAGTTTTGCTAGCTGAACAGCAAGAAAATTAACATTATGATCGTATATAATTATTCCTTTTTTTCCCTTGACCCTTTTACATCTTTTCTGCATATATGAGTTCAAGAACGAAGTCAACTAAAATATGTTTACAATATTGCTAAATTACAACTAAATGATAACTTGTTAAATTTTATAGAGTTTTACCTAAGATTTCATTAAAAATTTATATACTAACCATATATAAAAACAAACTTATTCTGATAATTCACAAGAAAAGGAAATTTTGTTGTCCACTTGTTAGCACTACTCTTAAATTTACATATATTACTCGTACAATACTTTTTTGTGTGCTTGATGTCACATCAATAATTTTATTATCTTTTGTTTTCGTTTTTTTAAAAATAGTATAAAATTCATAATATAAAGTATCATTCCTTAAAAAATCATGTGCCGAATTCATCAGTAAAAGAAAAACATAAACATGTATTGTAAAAATCTCTGTAGTGTTTAAGAGAGCAGTATAGTATTTAATAGTAAATTTTTGATCGCCCCCCTCGTCCGCTGTGGAGTTGCAGGTTTGTCTGAGAATGGAGTGGTCACTCTCAATCTATCACAATGATATAATATATCTTATTATATTGTACAGATTTGGTAATGCAGCCAAAGCCTTTGCTTTGTGCTGAACTTTTGATGCTTCAATACACTGGACTTTATAAAATTCTATATTCAATGAAAATTACTTCAAACATTGTTTTTTCAGCCTCAAAATTATTATAGTAAAAGTTTATATTCTATATTTAACTGCTTATTTGTGACTCACTACACTGCTACATGATTTTTCTCTTCACAAACCATCACTTATCCTTATTAACATTTATAGATTTTTTTTTGTTTGACCACTAAATTTTTATTATATTGCATTGCAGAAAAGGTAAACTTAAAAGTAATACATAGCCTTTTTATATATAGGTGTCACGAGTTACAACAAATCCAGACCTACACGAATATCGTTAATCTAATTACTCAAAATAGAAGTCCACAAATTACAATTCTATTTTTTTATACCCTATCAATATGTATACTGATTTTACAGTTGTCTCTATCTTTCTTTATTACACAGAAAATTAACTTGGTTTCGCTGATTATTCTGAATAGGGTTCCAACTTTGAATTGAAGTGTATAAAAAAATGTTGTCTCGAGTTCATCAAATATACTTGTATGTTTTAATTATCTTTAAAGAAACATAATCATCACCTATATTTTATCTTGTTTAATTCACCCAAAAAAGAAAGATGTTTATGTTGGTTAATAACAAATTAGATTTAGAATGTAGTATGTTTATGCATATTTTGGATTTTCAACAATTTTTTTCTTATTATATTTCTAGCCCTATATTAAGCTCTATTATTATGAAGGGAGAAAGAAGTAGCCTGTTGATTATCTTGTCTGACACATTGTAGCATGATCTAGTTGAATTATAGTATCACTTCCTCCGTTTTTATTTTGTGTTAATTATTTTTTTGGACAACTAGTAAATACATACAAAAATGATTTTCAAAAAGTGTTTATAAAATTTTCTATTTTATCTTTTTTATTTCTACTGTATATATAAATTAATCATAAATTAGGTGAATGACAAAAATATAAATAAAAAATTAATCAATATTACTTTGAACTTTGAATTAAATAAAAATAAAAATCTTTCAATATTACAACACTTAAAAAAGGAACAAAAGAAATAGATTTCAGGTTTGTTTTAACTGTATTTTAGATTTGATGAATGTGAGATCGTGAACATGATTTAGGATAAAAAGATTAATACTGTTTAGTGCTTTTTTTTCCCTTGTATGTACTTGTTACATTTTATACTTCTGAATTGACCATGTATGATGTTATTTGTCGGAGTAGAGTACCTTTCACTTTAATTCCTAATACTCTTTCTGGTCCTTTCTAGAAAAATCCAATTAACTAATTTATGCAAGTAAACGAGATAATTGGTTCATGATATTAAATGTCTTACGTACTTATTTTTGAAAATAAAAACAACATTTAAAATTAATTTATTCCCCACCAATTACTTATTGATCAAAGAGGAACACTTTAGTTAAGTGTATTCTTTAAAAAAAAAAATCAATTCATGATATTTTGATTTTGGCAAATAATAATATTGGAGAGTTGGAAAAAAAATAGAGTTTTTGCAAAAATAATTATTGAGCAGTGGAGCAAGTTTTCCAATATGAACTAAAAAGCAGTTTGTTTTCCTTTGACGGACCCAGCATTCCCTGACTGCCGTGGGCACTACTAAAACTACTTTTTTACTCTCTACTTCCTCACTTCTCTTTCTCTTTCCTTCGGATTCCAAACAACCCCTTCTTCTACCTCTCTCTACTCTATTTTATACAACCTTTTCCTTCTGTTTTTACTGTCCTCATATACTTATATATACACACCCCATACACAGCTCACTATCCAACCAAGGGAGGGTTTTCTGAAAGAGAGAGAGAATAATTAAAAAGGCCTTTGCCTTCATCTTTGCTATTGCAAGAGAGAAGGACCAGCTATTCAATTACCTTCATCCATCTTCTACTTCCTTCTTTCTCTCTTTCTTCTTCTTCTTTCACCCTCCTTCTTTCAAGAAACTCCAGATCAGCCATGACAACCTGCGGCATCGATGTTGCGCCCGAGCAACTCTGTTACATCCCCTGCAACTTTTGCAATATTGTTCTTGCGGTATCTTTGATTTCAAAGCTAGCTTTTATGATTTCGTCGGAGATCTGCTTTTCGGCTCTTGCATGTTACCTAATTCATACAATATCTTCTTGTTTTCAAATGCCAAACTATTGTATTTTACAGCACGCACACACACACACACACAGTACACATACTTGGTTGGTTTCTTTTGCCTCTTTCTTTTCCTTCTTCTGTACACATCCAAGGGCAAAATAATTCAATCAGATCCTGAAAAGAAAGCTACCACTATGCGTGTGTTTGTGTGTGTTTGCGCTTTTGTGAACCAGTGGGTGTGCTGTTTTAATTCCCTCTTTCTTTCTGGGTTCCTAGTTGTTGTTACAGTCATGTCTCCATCTCCGGACTTTTCCTTTTCTCCTTTTCTTTTCTTCTTCTTTTGCAGTCAAATAAAAGTCATATCTGGAGAGGACCTCAAGAAGGTCACACACACACACAAAAACAAAACCATACACACACGGTGTTTTCCCCTTCCCGTTCTGAGCAAGTGCGGGTGAGGCTAATTGTGCCAACTGTGCTAGCTAGCTAGCTGTTTTGAGAAATATTGTAGTTTCCTCTTGAAAACGCCAAAACAGGCACTATATGTTAAAACTGTTGATAGGACAAGTCCTCTCCACCCTTTGATTTCCTATCTCTAACCTGTAACCTAATTGACCTCTCTAGCTTCTGCTAAAATCAACTTCTTCTGAACTATACATCCAGGTGCTTTCTCATGTTTTTAAATTGGAAAACAAAAATGTAAATCTCTTCAGGAGTACTCCCAGTTCTAACATACGAGAATAAACCCTGGATCGTAGCATCTTTCAAGTTGACAAGTTTTCTTTCTTTTTCGAGTAAAACCAAGCTGCACCCTTTTCCTCAAAACCTCACTTCTCAACTTACTTTTTTTATCTTTAACGGGATGAGATGATCTGAAATATGAAATAATTGCGTGATCTAGTTTAATTTATTTTGTTTTTCATTCTCTGGGTGTTTAATCAACTTTCCTCCTTGTATAATGGAATATTATTGTGTTATGGACACAGGTGAGTGTTCCATGCAGCAGCCTGTTTGACATTGTGACCGTTCGATGCGGGCACTGCACCAATCTATGGTCCGTGAACATGGCCGCCGCGTTTCAGTCACTGTCATGGCAAGATGTTCAGGTAAGGTGCAATATAATAACACATAAATGCCACGTTTTCAACTAATTGGTACTTGATTTTGATGAATACTCGCAAGTACTAACATAACACAAATATAAATAAAATAGCGTCTTTGATTTCTGGATCCTAGGGTAGGGTTTGTGGGAGTTATTCCTTTTGACAAAATCGAAGCCCCTCTGGTAGGTTCTGTGTGCTAAATCGAGTATTTCAAAGCAAGCATGTCTGTTATTTCTACCTGAGAAAGAGTACTGAAAGCCCTAGCTACCTGCAGCCGCCATAAGCAAAACCTATTCGTTTTCTTTTTTGCACTTTTAGTAGAGGCGTCAGGTTCTGTCCTAACCCATCAAGGCAACTGAAAATCTATCTATCTCTCTCTCTTCATGGCTTTTTGAGATGATATACTTTGGGTATCGATTTCATCGACATGTATCTATGTATGTATATGTGGGAAATATGTTATGTTAGCCATAGCTAGGTTTAATGATTTCTTTTCAAGATCCTTGTCGTCTCCAAGGCAAGCACACTCCTGTGGATCGGATGACTCGATTCTCAATTTTTAAAAAATGGTATCTTGCTCGGTGTAAATCCCTAAAATCTAAGCCCTTCATTTCCACAACTGTCAATCTGGGTTTTCTGTAAGTACTTTCATTCATCTGATTAGTTGCATTTCTTGTCTTATTGCTCAGTGATATTAAAGGCACTTTCGTTTCTCTCTATGAGAGGCCATCATTATTTCTTCACGTCTGAATCACAGTAAACCCACATTTGCTGCTGCCAGATACCTAGTCAGTTAATTTATTCACCCCATTTTTATTTCATGCAAACTAACTGGTCCCCGTCTGGTTTTTACACTCAAATTACTTTTCAAATATTTCAATATAAAATCTACATTTTAATCTATATTTATTTTTAAAAAAATAACATTTAACAGTAAATTTAATGATTAAAAAGCAAAGAATTCTTCATGTTTATTATAAGTCATCATGGTGCCACCACTTTAATTGTATGGCTAAGTTTATCTTCCAAGCTTATTATTAAGATTTTCATTTGCAGGGACCCGGGCACTGCAACCCAGAGTACAGGATTGACACTGGCTCCACCTCCAAATGCAACAACAGGATTGCAATGCGTCCACCCCCCACTATTGTAACTGAGGAAAGGGTTGTCAACAGGCGTGAGTATATATCTATATATACATATATTAGGCTTTACCAAGTTTAATATTCATTCTCAAATTCATCATAGCCACACATATGGAGCCACCTAGTTTCCTTAAATAAAATAAAATATCCACATTGTCATTGACGATATTGATCTTATCTGAGTTGTTATTTTCTTTTCCAGCTCCCGAGAAGAGGCAGCGCGTACCTTCTGCTTATAATCAGTTTATAAAGTAAGTAAAACTTTACGAATAATTTTACTGTATATATAAGATGTAATTGGTTGCATAAAGCACTTTGAAACGTCTTTGTTCTTACGCAGGGAAGAGATTCAGAGGATCAAAGCCAATAATCCTGATATCAGTCACAGAGAAGCTTTCAGTACAGCTGCCAAAAACGTAAGTATCAGATAAAAATCGCTGGAATTATTTTACCCTATTTTAATATATATCTTCTTGATAACTATACTTAATTACTGAATTTTCTCTTTTTAGTGGGCACATTTTCCCCATATTCACTTCGGGCTGATGCTGGACAGCAACAACCAAGCTAAGATGGAAAATGTAAGTACATACACAGAAGCAATTTTTTTTTTTATCAGTAAAAAATAAATGAATAAATATAGAACACTTATGAAATACTCTAACCCTTTTTCAAAACATTCACATAAGCAAATATTTCTATTTACATCACTTATTTCAAGAGACAATAGTTGTGATCCTCCGTAGCAACATATTTATTTCATGCTTTTCGATTTTTCTATTAAAGAATATAACACTTGGCAAAAAACTATATCAACAGAATTAATATTAGCTTTTAATATAGCATCAACGTTTTAACTGGAGAAACAGAAAATGAGTGAATCTGAAAAAGATAAATAAATAAAAGAAAGTGTTAAATTATTAAGTATGGAACGTACTCTTGTTTAAGGATCATTGCTACAAAACATTGTTTGATGAGATGATATTTGATTTCAGGTTTCTGAGAAACATTTAATGTCAAGGGCTGCGCTAATGAATAAATGAAAGCTATCTTCATCATGATATCATACTATGGGTCCTGAGTTTCGTTTGAATCTGTCAAGAAAAAAAAGTCCAACCTATTATGAGTTTTAAGGACATCTGCACTTTTCTTTTGTTAATGTACTTGTCACTACTTAATTACTACTTGTTCAATGGATGCTTTAATTTCAAGCAAGAATGTTAGTTTCCCTTATCATCTTTTAATAACTTATATTTTCTACCTGTTTAAAATCAAGTATAAAACATATATACTTGATCTTCTTGAGCTTATATATGTATAATCCTTTGTTTGGAGCACAATATATTGACATTTTCTTTAAATTATCATAGGGTAACTATTCATATAAATAGATTTATTTTTAAACGTGTTAGTTAATACACTTCTACTGCATCATTATTTTATTGCGTAATCTATGTTAAAAAATTATAGTGAAAATTTATATTTTAACACCTTTACCACTTCAACTTTATCTTAAAATATTAATATAATTAATTATTAAATGACTGTTTATGGATTGTTAAATTATTAATTATTAATTATTGCTTTAACTATATTACATGCATTCAATTATTAGTCATAAATGTGTTTAATTTATTTGTTAGAAGAAAAGAAAATTAAATAATAGAAGTAAGAGTGATTAAGTTAGTGTCATCAACTAAAATATAAATGTCATTAGACCCCATACCACATCATGGTACCGGCACAATTCAATTCAAAATAGCCCTACCCTATACCCTATACATTTCACCCTATAATTCAAATAAATCAGACTAAAAAACATGTAAGTACTTATAACATTTTTGTTGTGGTCCTCATTGGATATTATTGACTTCATAACATAAATGTCTTTCTGTTATAGTATCATGAATTAATTGTTTCTTTATCGCAATAGCAAGATAAATAGTATCATTCGTGCCTTCAAAAGGCCTGAGGTTGTTTCTTAGTAAATTAAGAATGCATGTCTTGATCTTCTTTAGTCAAATAAAACAAAGAAATTATCTCTAGTAAGTTCAGTTCTGTTGGAACAAGAGTTACACAAAGAACACATACCTAAATATCTACAACTACTTACATCTTTCACATAACTTAGTTGAATTCATTTCACATATAACATTTGGGACTATGACCCTTAAAATTAACTAAATGAGTGGTTGGTCCCCTAGTTTGATGAGTTCAAGCACTAAATATTATATAGTTAACTATATTTTTTAAGAAGCTTATTTTAGATATAGAGACTACTAGATGAAAGTACAATAACTCAGATAAAACTATATATGCACTATTTATAAATTAAAGAAACTTAATTAATATCTTAATAATATCTCTCATTCTCTCCTTTTAAATCTTAACAAAATAACAAAGACGAATGTGTTTAAAAGTGCATTATAATAACTTTCTCATTGAATAATTTATATTCAAAACACAATCTCATTTATCTAGAATTTATAGTATCTCTTTATTAAAGTCCTCTATTAACTAATTAAAAAACCACTGATGATTTGTTTGGTATATTAAAAAATCATAAAGGTAAAAGTCTTCACATTTCTTTGAGAAATTCGTAAATAATGCTTATTAAGGTATCAGTAGTAATTAAGGAACTAAACACAAAAGGAGAAATAATAAGTTCTATTTAGGGTACAACTTAGAAAGGATTTGACCCTATTATTTCATACGAGACGATATTAAACATCAGTCAATGGTGATTTTTGTGCAATAACTTTTATGTTTTAGCACTAATTATCTAATTTTTGTATGTCACTCTCTCATTACAATTGAGTATCATTACCTAAAAAGTATTCTAACTTTTTTTTTTTCGATTCTCTTATCAATTATAACATATGATTTATGCTTTAAGAGCATTAATCAATTCCTTTCTAACTTAACTTTTCCTTTATAAATATCACTGTTAGATAATTAATAACACTGATCTACCCTAACCAATCAAAGCATCTATTTCTTTTGGATTCATTTGAATGTCAGGTAATGTTAAAAGAAAGGTGGAATGCACTTTTTTTAGTCGCCAACTTGTCATCTTGGGACAACAAAATTCTAACGTTTTAAAATCCAAACAAACATTTAGTAGCAAACGAGAGAGTTGGGAGAAAAAGCTTAATTTTTTCTATTTTTTTTCTCTTTAATTTATATGTAATGTAAGTTCTGTGAGTGTGAGATGTTTGATGAAATGGACTGGTAAGACTACAAAATATACGTTTCTTTTTACTTTTCAAAGTAAAATATCTAAGAGAAGATTTGGTCCTGTACCAAGCACACTCCAACTCATAAATTAACAAAGGCCTTTTCGAAAAGGAATTTTTGGACCACCATTTTGGCATTATGGCATCCCCATCAAAAACACACAGGAATCTCCATGAAAGCACTAAAAATGAAGCATCTCCTTTTGCAGGTTGCTTCAAAAATTTGGCTACTAATTTGAGTATTGACCAGCTCGTGTGTTGTCCCATTAAGAAACTACTCACGGACAAAGGAAAAAACAGATTACACAAAATGATATCGCCATTCACGGTCCCAAAATTCACTAAAAACTTGTGCAGAAAAAGCTGTGAAAAAGTTAAAATTAATCCCATTGGCAGAATAGAAGAAACATGCTTCAACTAGGATAAGTTCTACAAGCATCTTATGTGTATAGACTCTATGGTATACTAGGAAAAAAGTTTGACAACTATAGAGTTTCTTTTATAAGAGTTCTTATTCTAGAATCTACGGTGATGGATATGAGAAAACTACAAAATTATATGTTTATTTGAAAAAAGTAAGATAGATTAGGTATAGGAGTTGAGAGGGAGAAGGAGAATGAAGTGAGATAATGTTGTTAGAGTAAGAAATGAGAATATTATTAGGGTAGTGATATATATAGTTTTAAATTTGATTATAATATTTGGATAGTTAGAGTATTATAGTATTAAGTTATGTTGGTCAGTCTGACAATGAGAATCTGAAACGTCAAAATCATGTCTGTTAAGCATTGATTTCTTTTGAATGTCATTTCATGTCTGACTTTCTCAGCCCACCACTTACTGCCATAGAGAGCCACAGCAGAAGCAGAACCCTTCCTTTTCGCACTCGCCGTGCCTTGAAGTTAATGCCATTTTTGTCTTTCACTATTTGCTTCGCATCAACTTCAAACTCAGCCTTATCATACATACCAACCCATCTTAATTCATACCATTTAATGCTTCATGCTACTTTATAATCGTATTTAATGATCAATCCTAAATCTATATATTTGCTGTTAGACACACCGAAATATAAATATACTTACTTTTTAATCAGTTCATAATTTTTTAATGAAACAGTCATTTATTATTTCTATTTTTAACATAAAATACATCAATGTTTATCTTTACAACAAATAAAAATAATAAACGGATTTGGAGAACAAATTTGTTTTAGAAAAATTATTTAAGCAATGATACGTTTTTATTGCTGTTTTAAATATGTCAGAAAAACCTTAAACTACATTCCGCTCACTTCTTTTATGCCAACCTAAGTTTTTTTTTTCACATGTATTAAGAAACAAGTTTTAAAGTTTATCAAACTATTCTCTATTTCAAAAAATTGTATATCTTTAATTAATACAGAAAAAGTAATTTATTTGAGTATAAATTAGAATTAAAAAATAATGATGAATTTTCGAAAGATGAACATGTCAATTAATTTGAAATTTTCTAAAGACTAAATTGACTAGTGTTTTAAGTTACTTTTTTTATTTATTTCATATAGAAGTATAAACTTGAATTAATCAATTTAAATATAAAAAATATATAATGCATATGAATTTAAATTAATCATTTTACTATAAAAAAATTTATATTCAACATATTGCAAAAATATTTTGGAATCAAAGATTATTCGTAACACAATAAAAAAATAAAAAAAAATGTTTTATGAACTATACTATTTTGAGATAGAATGAAAAGGATTGATTGAAGTTTTTTGAATGGCATAAATATTATTTTTCAATATTTTTGTACATTATATGTTGAGTTTAATATATATAAACGTAAAATAATTTTATTTTCTCATCCAAAGTTTAAGTCATTATTAGGCATGTGAACATTTTTATTAAATATTTATTTAAATTAAACAATAACCCATTACTATTGTTTTTGTCTGGTATATCAATTTGTCGTTACTGATAGTAGAGATCATGGAGGAGAAAGATTAGATGGACCCAAAGCCTAGCCCATAGGGGCAACAACCTACAATCCATTGTTAGAAGGATCTATTTAATAAAAAAATGGTTGTGGTAAAAGAAATTATCTTCTGTTCTTTTTATAGATATGTTAAAAGTTTCATAAGTTTTCTTGAATTTAAAATGATTTGTAATGATTAAATTAATAACTACAATTATTTATGTCAGTTGAAAAGTTATAGGAACAACTATACATATGTTTTTAAATGTTGGCAAGTATAAGAGAGCCTACTAACTTATAATAGGGATTATCTTATATTATTTTTTAAGGTAAAAGTTTATTCCATCTCCATTTTTATATTTAAAAGATATAAGATTTTTTTGTCTTATTTTCATCTTTCATCAAGTGACAGATATACTTTATATTCATATCATATCCATTTTTGTTACTGTTTAAATATCAACTAAATCCTTTTTAATGAAAAATTAAAAGTAAAAAAAAATATAATATTATCAAGTATTAAATATCAAACATCTTATATATTACATGTCAAATATTTAGAAAAATTATAATTATTATATATTAAATGTCAAATATTTAGAAAAAATTATAATAGTATAAATTTTAAATAAGAATACAAAATAACTATTGAGGAAAAGTAAATAAATTATATAAAATATTTCAAAATTAATATAAGTAAAAGTTCACCAGCATCTATAAATTTTATATGTATTAATTAAACAAAGTTGATAAAATTAAAAGAATTTTACAAAAATTTTAAAAACAATAAATATTTAATTTTAAAAATATTTAAAATGTTTCAGTTTTTTTTTATACATCGATAAATATTATATTTAACGAAACCATAGAAATAAAAAAATATTAAACTTATAATAATTCAAATTTAGATATAATTATTTTATTTTATGAACTTCATTGTACATTATATACTGTGTAAACAAGATTTATAATAATAACATTAAATTATTGTATTAAAATTACACTTATGAGAAAAAATTA